TTTTTTTTTTTTTTTTTTTTTTTTTTTGTAAAAGGGATCAAGCTCGGGACCTTGCGCTTATGATGCAGGTGGTGGAACAACTAAGCTATATCCCTGGCCCAGGATGATCCAACTTTTAAAGGGCATATATTAATATAATCATTTAACTAAAAAAAGAAAATGCACATTCAAACTGGCAGATGTTTAAAAAGCATTTGAAAAAATTTAAGTCATTTTTTATCTTAAAATATTTATATATTTAAACAGAGGAATAATTCCTTAATATGACTGAATACTTACTGTGAACCAACAACAAGCAAATGATAAATTGAGGAAAATATAAATCATATCTTAAAAATCCCACATGCATAAGAAACAGGCATCACCATCACTGTGAGCCATTTCTTTTTCTTTTTCTTTTTTTTTTCAGCCTGGCCTTGAACTCAAAGCCTTCCTCCTGCCTCAGCCTCTCAAGTGCTGGGATTACAGGTGTGCACCACACACCCAGCTGCCATTTCTTAGTCTCATCGTCACCCCACCAAGTTCTAACAATAATATCTAAATATCTGTAGAATATGACCATATCTTCCCACCAAAATGACCACATATTGGTCTAAAGTACTATTATGCTTCAATTCCTACAAAAGCCTCTGTACTGAACTTGTTTCTACTTCATTTCTTTGCACTGCATTCTCCACTCAGCAGTAAAACGAAAGGTTGAAAGTGCAAATTTGATTATGTTCTATACAATCACACCCCCAAAAAATCCAATGGGCTTCCATTGTTTGTAAGATAGAGAAATACTAAAACATCACTTCCTACCTATACTATCAGCTCCATTTTAATGTCATACCTCATGGTTCAATTCCCCCTACACAGTATATGTTAACCTGTCATAGGGTCTTTGCTATTTATTATGACCACAATGCTCTCCACAGCCTCTCAGTGTAGTTAGTACCAATTCAACCTTCAAGTATTTGCCTCAAACTTCCCCCCACAGAAACCTCTAGCCCCCTTGATGAGGTCAAATTGTTTTTTTTTTCTTTCATTGAGTTTATTGGTACATTTTAGATATGCAGTACAATTACATTCATTATTGGGATCTTGTATCTTTACATGACATGTCTTGGTTCTCATTTTTTTCCCTTTATCTGTGCCCTCTCTTCACCCCCTCCTCCCCTCCCCATTTACAAACACTTTATTTACATTTTTTCATTTTCTCATATTTTTTCTTTTCCCTTATTACCTTTCCCCTACCCTTCCCACTTTCCCTACACCTTTAGCCCTTTACTTCCTATTTCACAATGTCAGTTATCTCATTAGGATTTTAGGTACTATTATAGTTTTTCACAACAGAGAAACTATTTGGGATTTACACATGTGTGACTTATTTATTTCACTTAGGAGTATATCCTCAATATGTATCCATTTTCCTATGAATGAATCTAATATCTGATTCTTCATGGCTGAGTAATATTCCATTGTATAGAAAAACCAAATCTTTTTATCCAGTTTCCAACTGATGGGCAGATGGGCTGTTTCCAAGTTTTAGCTATTACAAACTGTGCTGCTCTAAACACAGGTGCACATATGCTACTGTGGTATGATCTTTTAATTCTTTTGGAAAGATACCCAGCAGAGGGATGGCTGGGTCAAATGGAACCTCTAGTCCCAGCACTTTGAGGTATCTCCATATTGATTTCCATAGTGGTTGCACCAGTCTGCACTCCCACCAACAAGGGAGAAAGGTTCCTTTCTCCCCACAACTCTGCCAACATTTGTTTTGTGATTTCCTGATAGCAGCCATTCTTTGGGAGGTGAGGTGGAATCTCAGTGTTGTTTTCATCTGCATCTCTCGAATGACCAGAGATGTGTAACATTTTTTCATATATTTACTTGCTGCTTTTACTTCTTTGTTTGAGAAATGTCTATTCATTTCAGATGCCCATTTTTGAAATGGGTCTTTATATTTGGGGTGCCAATTGTTTTGAGTTCTTTATATATTCTAGATAATAGTCCTTTGTCTGAGGAGCAGCTGGTAAAAAGTTTTTCCCACATTGTAGGTTGTCTCTTAGTTCTGTTGATGGTTTCTTTTGCAGTGCAGAAGCTTTTTAATAAGAGATCCCAGTTGTTGCTTCTTTCTGATAGTTCCCGTGCTACTGAGGATTTGTTCATAAAGTCTTTTCCTATGCCAATGTCTTCCAGAGTTCTGCCTAATTTATCTTCCAGCAGGTTTAGTGTTTCTGTTTTAATATTTAGATCTTTAATCCACTTGAATTTTAATTTAGTGAATGGTGAGAGATAAGGGTCTAGTTTTAATCTTTGGCATGTTGAGATCCAGTTTTTCCAATACCATTTATTAAAGAGGCTATCTTTCCTCCAGTGGTAATGGTCAGCTCTTTTGTCAAAGATGAGGTAGCTGAGTACATCTGGAGTTGTTTTTGTGTCTTCCAGTCTGCTCCACTGATCCACAGGTCTGTTTCTTTGCCAGTACCATGCTGTTTTTATCACAGTGGCTTTGTAGTATAGTTTCAAATTGGGAATTGTTATACCCGCTGCCATGTCTCTGTTCCCTAGGATGGCTTTAGCTATTCTAGGTCTCTTATGGTTCCAAATGAATTTTTGGATTCTTCTTTCTAGTTCTGTAAAATATAGTGTTGGAATTTCAATTGCATTGAATCTGTATAGCAGTTTTGGTAGTATGGCCATTTTCACTATGTTGATTCTTCCTACCCAGGAGCAGGGGATGTCTTTCCATTTTCTTATATCCTCTTTGATCTCATTTTTCAGAGTGCTGTAGTTTTCAGTGTATAGGTCTTTTGCTTCTTCTGTTAGATTGATTCCTAGATA